CACACTAACTCAGCTGGCTTTTTTTGGTAGGATCTCCATTTTCCTGGCTACTTTAATAGCTCTTCACTCTCTTTTTTTCATTTGGGGTTTGTCTTTAGCTTGGATTCTTCTGAAATGTTCTGTCCAGTTGTGATCAGGGCCTTATTTAACTCCACAATGTCTCTCTTTCCCCTGCTATGTTCTGGCATAGATTTTGCCCTTTTCTGATCTCTGTCACATCCAGCAGCTCATCTGAGCCAGCCACATGTTTTTCCTCAATTCTCATTTCCAGTCAATGAGCAGGTAGAAACTTCTACTGAGCGTGCAGCTTTGCACTTCCTGTTATTCCACATAACATTTCTGGATTACCCAGTCCTCAAGGGGATTTGGTGGTTCTTGCACAGCGCTCCTGTTTTCCTTTCTTTTTACAGTGCCTTCCACCTAAGTGTAAATATACTACATGTGATCAGTCCTACTGCTTGTATTCAGGACTAGTGGGTCTCCTCTAGGCTGATGGTTCCCCTTTCAGCCCGAACATTGTCATTTTATTTCTAGTTATTTTACATATCCTTTCTCTATTCCCTGTCTTCTCAAGTCTGAGTGGAAGATTCCCACATAGCACCATGCTAGAATCGCCTTCCATAACCTCTCCTGACCATCTTTTAGGCTGCCCTGAACTTCACCTTCACTTTTCCCACTCAGAGCAGCAATAACTCCATTTTGGAAAACTACAGGAGAAATCTAATTAAAATATTGTTCTGGTTTATCCTTCCTTTATTTGAAATGTATACAGTCTACAGCTACTTATTTAATTATTACCAACGCACAGTAGTTAATAATGGCAATTCCATTATAAGAAAGTATCTTGCACATCATGTCTGAAGAGGAATTTTAGATCTAATCAAGTCACAAAAGCAATTATAGCTGTGATCTGCTTTTGCAAGCGTCATATCCTATATTATGTCAAATCAGTTGCTGCAAGCACAGTAGCTTGTTTTTTTTCTTGACTACAGGAGGGAGTGTGCATAAATCTAAGGATATATCTGAGCTCTTTAATAGCTATAGGTATAGGGAAATGTTTCCTTATGGCAGAGAACTTATTTGGAAAAGAATATGAGCAAAAACGTGTACTTAGTTTATAAATAAATTTTATTTGTAAATTTGCTGGGAGTCAGACAAGACAAGCTTGGGCTTCTGTCTTGTCCATTTTCTCTCTGAGTGATAGGAGTGATGGTAGGAAATTTTCCTCTGTATCCACGTTCTTAGGAACATGTGCTAATGTGTTCCTCCAGAACTGTGCCTGCTTGTCCACGGAGAGTGGACCTGCCTGGTATGGGGCAGTTGGACCTAAAACTGACTCCCAAACCTAACTTGAGGCTGAATGAGGCTCACGTTCCCTCTTTTATCCCAGCTTACAGTTTCTTATACTTTGCTAAGTGCGCTGGCAAGCAGCAGGGCCGTGAGTAAGGAGTGTGTTCTGTGTTTGTGCAGTGCCTAGCGCAGAGGGATCCCCACCGCGGCTCCGGCCCCTACCTGCTACGGTAATACAAGCCATCTCACAGCCTGAGTTGGTCACATACCTCCTCACACCTTCCTTCTCTTCCCTTTTCTCTCTGCATACGGCTCTAGCATGTCTTGCATGTTCGTGACATCTGACTCTTCCTCGTTACTCGGTTCCGTGTTTGTACACACCCTCAGTCCGTGGCAGTGCCTGCGATGCCCACGCTGAGGAAGTTAAGTTACACTCAGAGATTCACGTCTGAATTCGACCCTCCCTCCTTTAAGGAATCCCTCAGGGCACTTTGGCTTCCTGCCTCAGTTTCCTTTTTTATTTTAACAGCCTCTCTGGCATCCTGTAAAGATGGAAAATAATGTCTGTAAAGTGGTTTGAAAAATAAAAGAATGCTTTGCCTGAACGTTTTTTTTTTTTCCCTTGGTTTTCTTCCCAATATTGTGTTAAATGATCTCGAGAAGGTGGGGGTTTTCTTTCAATAGCATTGGCTAACACTTGAGCATGTCCTGTTACATGGTGGTGATGTTACCAGTAATGGAAATCTGTTTTCTTTTTTTTCTTTTTCTCCTTCCTCCCAGCTAAAAATATCAGCGGTGCCGCTCTTGCATTTTCTGTACCCAACGCACCTGGTTGATTTACCATCTTGGCCATCCCGTTCTCTTCATGCATGTTTCTGAGTGCATGGAGTCGTGAAGGTTCTTCATGTAACACATTTGTGACGCACCACGTTGCTGTATATTCCATCTGTACACTGTTAGCATTTCAATGAAGGCGAATGTTCCATGCAAATAGAGAATAACAAGGAGTAAAAAAGGCAAAAAAAAAAAAAAAAGAAATAAAAATGTTGGATGGACGGCAGTAGATACACAATACATCTGTCACTTCCTCCATTTATGCCAAGTTTTGAGAGACAACTTTAAAAACTATCCTGTTTATTAAAAAAAAAAAGGAAAAAAAAAAAAGAAAAAGTATATTTTACCTTCTTTTTTTAAGAACTGTTTTTTGACTCCTCCTTTTCCCCTCCCGAGTCCCAGGATTTTGCTTTGGTTCTGGTAGGAATGGTTAGGATTTCCGCTGGCAGCTCCGTTACTGTCAAACAGATTTTTGTTACAGCACGTAGATGGGCAAAATCACTGATAAATGTGGAAGTGATAATATCTTGGCTTTGGACCAGCTGAAGCCTTCTTAGTTTATTAGTCTGTGTAAACTGGAAAAAGCTCCTCATTTGCTGGCTTGGCCACTCCAGAATTAACTGTCAGTGTTCTGGTGAGTCAGCAGCTTCTGTTTTCCCGTGGAGTCCTTTTTGCTTTCTTATTTTGCTTAACTGAAAATTCCTATTGGATGATTAAGCAAAATTAAAAATTTGTAAGGAATTAAGAGGTAATTGAGAGGCATTTTCGAGGATTAAAATGGAAGGAGAGAGAAAGATTTTTATCGCTTTTAGGATGTACTGTAAATTTTTTAAGGAGGCTTTAAAAAAATATAAACTATAATATGTTGGTTAATCTATAGACCAGTTGTGTGGTTGATATACTCGAGAAATATTAGGCCTTAAAGCTGAGTATGAAGAGTTTACTTACATTACACTGCTGCTGTTGCTTCTCTGGAAATGAGTTATGGACACACCGGTTTTACCCCAGATTTGTCTCCCCCTCTTCCCCCTCAACGCGCTGTTGGTTTCTTAAGCTCCTGGTGCAGCGTATGGTGTCGAGCCCAGCAATTCCCACAGTGATTCCCACAGCGATCCCGTTGGGTTTGGCCGGAGGCAGCCAAAGGAGGGACACTCTGCTGCCAGCGCAGAACGCGAACCTCGTAACAGGGACTAGTTTTCCTCCCCTCACGTTGCTGTGAAAATACGTCCTCGCAAGGATTTCGGTTTCCTCCCTTCCATTCCCGATAGCAGAGCACAGGGGTGGGTTGCTTTTGTTTTTCCCATTGGTTACTGGTTCTGTTGGCAGGGCTCCCTGCTCTCCACGGCGCTGTACAGTGCATGGGATCTCCACCACGCTCCTTTTTAGCCGTTAAAAACTTACAGCCCTGCAGCCCGAAGTTTTTAAAATGGGAAAAGCTTCCTAATTTGTATCATTTCACCTTTCCGTGTCGATGACTAATCAAAAGCAGTTCTTAAACATGTCGATGTTGTTACTAGTGGATGTATGGTAGATGGATTTAAGCTTCTCTGATAATTACTACATGATTTTAAACAATATATATTTAAAATAAGCATCTACAATAAATGTGTTGAGCCATATTAACCTGCCAATGGGATCTGTGAAAAAAGTAATGGCCTCATTTTTTTTTTCATTAATTTCTTTACTCTTTTTTTTTTTTTTTTTTTTTTTTTGTGAAGCGGCTATAAGTGGCATAACTGTATTTAAAATTAACAAATTAGGTGTAGGGTGTTTGTTTTTTTTTATACTTCTAACATAGCATGTGGTGTTGACGTATTACTGTAGACCAAGTTTGTCTTCCACACCAAGACGTGAGGAAATTGTGATTTGTTCTCTCCACCACAACTGAATTATACACTTCTGTCATTTTGGAACACTGCAGTTTACCATGGGACACAGTGTACATATTTCTTGCCATAATGGTAAATGATTGATATATTTAAGGATTAATAAATTTGTGATTTCTGCTGACATTGTGCTTGTGTTTTAATTTCCCAAGTAACTGTGATCTTCACATTGGAGAACCTGCAGTGTGTGTTTGAATACAGGCATTCGAGACCCAGATGGAGTTTCTTAGGAGCCGAATTTTCAGTCTGAAAACAGGAGTGTTTGCTTTTGTGTTTTGTTTCTGGGTCAGTTCTGAAGTGCCTTTCCTGAGGGCCCAGTTGTACACTGTTCATGCTCGACTTTGTTGACGGACTTTGCACATACCTTGTATTTGTAGGTCCATATTTAGAAATGTTTTAGGTACTTTGCATGTTTCTGTAGCTGCCTTGCAGTGTTTCACATACATGCTCAGCCTGTAACACAAGACTCTGTAAGAGCAGTTATTGTATGTTATATAACACCATAAAATATATATGGTAACATAATGCCATAAAATGCATTAAAGTCCATAAATAATTAGCATCTAAAATAATGTACCAGTTTAAAAGCTTTCGTGTGTGTCTGTAGCGATTTTAGGCTTTCTTAAACCGTGCTGAGCTGCAACTGAGAACAGTCTTTTATACCAGCAGAGAAGAAGGACGGAGGAGAGGAGACAACTTGCAGCTTTCCTGGGTCAGGGAATGCAGAGCTGGATCGCTGCGGGGCCAGGGCAGCGTAGCTGGAGCAGCAGCACTGGTGAGGGAGCCAGAGCCTGTCCTGGGTTGGTCACAGTTTCAGTGCTTCCCTTTGGGTGGCATTTGGTAAACGAAAAGAGAAATACTCGGCAGAGAGCTCAGGGGGTTGGAATTTGTCAGTAAACCCCAGTTAGATGCAAAAACGGTTTAGTCTGGAGGGAGGTTTTACATTTTGTCACATCACTTCTACCTATTTTGTTTGCTCATTTTTTCCAGTAAGTGCTATTCCAGAAATCAGTTTGATTCCCATTTTAACCGTGCTCCTGCAGAAAGCTCTTTGACAGCCGCGGAGTTGCTCCTGGTTTCAGGTATGCAGAGAAGAGAGATCAGTGTATGAAGCAAAATGATGAGCAGCAGGGTGGGAGAATGTATTTCCTAAATATCAGGTTGAAGGTTTGGGAGAGGGGCAGGGTTTTGGGGTATTTTTTTTATAATGGTGGTGGGTGTCCTTTTATAGCACAAATATTTTAATCTGCTGCCTCCTGGTGGCTTCTGTAATGCTGTTTTTTATTTAGGAGAGCACAGGAAGATGCTGTTTGTTCTGAGCAGGAAGGAACCCAGTGCTTTCATGCATTCACTTTTTAATGTGAGTAAGGAACACAGAGAGCCTGAAAATGACCCTTTCCTGGGTTGTGAATATACCCTATACACATACCTGGAGGAATCAGATTGGTTCTGTTTTCTACAAATGGGTTCCCAGGACACAGTTAAGAAAAGTAACACCTCCTAGAGTTAAGTCCAGAGTTCATTGTGTCCAAGATTAGCTTTACTGTTTCTTCAGTGAGTTATTAATCTTTGGTAATTTATCATCTGCTTGGGCTGTTTGCTCACAGAAAACAGAATTACTTTGTTCTTCTCAGGGCTTTTCTTTCTTTCTTCTTAAATTTGTACAGTCATACTTTATACATTACCCATCTTGAGAAAACACCGTTATTCAAAGAATTAACTGGATTAGTCAAAGAATTGAATCCAATTGCTTCAGGAGTTTCAGCTTCTTTCTTCCTAACAGATAATTAGTAAAATACAGACAGATGTGGGTGAATGGGAGTTCAGTGCTGGAAGGTGCCACTGCTCAATCTCTGGTTCTTGCAGGGCAAGCAGAAGTTATAGGGAAGTTTTGATAGCCACAAGAGGGGAGGCCTCACATGAAAGGGAGCCTAAGCAGAGCAGACTAGAAGCCTTTCCTCCCTTCCCCTCCCTCTCTTGCACAGAGACCCGTGAGTGAGCAGGACAAGGTGCAGGATCTTGGATTCCAAGGCAGCATGCTTGTGGAAAGAGGAGAAGGCAGCAGTTCTGCAGACAGTAAGTTTGGGGAAGAGGAGAACATTTAATCACAGAGTGTGAGGGGAGGAGAGTCGATGCAAAAAAGACAAGCTGATAGAAAACAGGGTTTCCAAGGCAAAGAGAGAGCGAGCAGTATTTCTGTATTACAGAAACATCATGTTCTTTCTTTAAAGATGTTGCCAGAACTCAGCTGTGGGGCTGGACCGTCTTAAGAACTAACTGGAAATTTGGCCCACAGAACCTTTTTTCGTCACAATGACCTCTAAGTAGTTAAAAAAGTCAAATAGTTGAATGTGGCAAGTGGTTGGAACAGGGTTGGTTCCTTAAAATAGCAAGGGCTGGGGCCTTGATCTTAAAGTTACTCACTTCTGGTATTCCCCAAAGTCAGCCCCTAGTGGAAAGATGCTGTCTCATGTCAGGGCAGGAGTAACAGCAGCACCTATCACCGAGTTCCCTGCTCACTGTCAGGTAATTCCCAGTGTCCAGCAGCTGATGCAGGAGGAGGGGAGAGTATTAATACACAGCCCGCTGCATTGAGAGAAAATTCATGGCAAGCAGAGCAGCCTGGACTGGGAAGGAAGAGCCCACTCTGCTCTTCGACCACTCCTTTTCCCACCCTTCCCAGGCATTCCGTGCTGGCTCTCAGAGGTGACAGCTGCCCAGGGTGAGGCAGTGACAGTCACAGGGCCTTAAGTAACACATGTAGCCAAGGGACTGTACTAGCAACAACCAGCCTGGCAGTGGGGGTAAGAGCCCACATTTGTGAGCCAGATAGCTCATTTTATAAACAAAGGTATTGCTGAACTACCTGAACACAAGTCAAACCCTTCGTAAGGATGGAGAAGAGAGCACTCCCAGCACATGTTAGAGCAAGACATCACCTTAATTAAACATCACCTAAAACTGTTGCCATGTCCCGTGCACCAGAGAGAGGGTAAGTACCAGAGCAAGAACAAGAGTTCAGCTTAACTTACTTGGTTAAATTCCTCGGACAAAACAGGCGTCTGAACATCTACCCCCTAGCTAAAAATGGTGGTCTTTGGGATTTTTTTCTGAACAAAACTTTCTAGAGAGTAAAGCACAGAAGCTGGGCCATGCCAGAACTTGCCTGCCTTTCTCATTGTAGCAAATCTAATCAAAGGTAGCTCTAATTCAAAGTCTAATCTTGCTGAGAAGTTATTCTAAATAGGATTTTGAGTACAGCAGAGCACCTGTGCACGCAGAAGAGGGATTGGTAGCATGCCCAGCCTTCTGTTTGCAGGCTTTATTTCTGATCCTGTGGTTGGCCCTGGGCTGCCTGGAGGATATGCTGTAGATCTGTGCACTTCTGATTGATGTGGCAATTCCCATTTCCAGCCCTTCACTGCTGTTCTTTGTATTGGTAATGTTCACACCTTCTCTAAACCCCGGGGCACCTGTGGATTCAAGGGTTCTGTGAAAGGACACAAAACTACCCTTCAGTTAAAGCCTTAAATACGCTCCATATATGTATTTTGAAGAGTCTGGGAGTATTAATGACTTTGCAGCATCTGAGAAGGAGCTGGGTGCTGGCACATCCTTCTGGGATCTGGTTTTGGAGGCACCGGTTCAGTCTCCTGTTGGGACCAAATCACGGTGTATAAATAGTTAAATTCTGTGTGGTGGAGACAGATCAGCACAGCAGCAGCAGGCTGATTTCAGGGCCTGGATGTAGAACACTGGGAGATGTGCTTAGAGCCTTTTTCTCTTTTTCAATCAGGCCAGGAGTCTGAGTGTGTGTCCCTTGTGCAAGGTCAGTGCCATAACCACTGAATGAATACCTGAGAGTGTTTTTCTGTTTTTCCCCTGAAAAATGAATAGGGAAGGATCTAATTTGTGTTTCAATGCAGTTTTAAAAAACCTGTCAAAATCTGCCTAAAGACAACAGCAGAAAGGATTCCTTTCCCTGGGCATCTGTCAAGTGCAGGTGCCACAAAGGCTAAAAAGTGCCACTGAGGACTAATTAACGCAAAGCTGAGGGCAAGAAACATTACAAGTCTCTTTACTTAAATAAAAGGATGCATTTGATGATTTCAGGATGTGAAGAGATACAAATAACTAAGGCTTGAAAGGCCCCAGTTGGTGCTTTGCTGATCCCCTCTCTGCAGTGGGTTTCCAAGAGGAGCACTGTGAGTATTCCTCTCCTCTGTAGCTGAATGGGGATCTCGGTGTTTGAGTCTCTCCACATTCACACCTTTCTGTAAAGAGCTTCCTAGTTAAGACCAGCTTTTCACACATGACGAGGCAGAGCTACTTTGCGTCCCACGAGTCTTACGATGCCAGAAGGATGTGAGGGGGATGTTTGGCAGTGTGGAGGAGCCCCGGGGGATGAGGAGGATGCTGTTTGCTGTTCTCATTAAGAGGCCTCAGCAGCTCACACTACTCATCTCTGAGGAGGAGTAGCTGGCACGAAGATCCAAACATTCTGATGGCGATAGGAGAAAGCAGGTGAGGCTTCTCTTCTGTTGGATCCTTTCACCACTCTGCTGCTCCCTGTCCCTCTGCCCTTCCCTCCACTGCCTGGTGCTCTGCCCTGCCTTCCCCTTCCCAAATCTTCTCACCCTGCCCCCAAAAGAAACCCTGAGGTTCTTACCACATGCCATTTATCCTGTTAAAAACACTGACAACACGTGCCACTCCTCAAAATCTGTCATTTACTTCTGGGTCTGAAACTCTGCTCCCTCCGTCCTCTTGATTTCTTTCGCCTTAGCTTTTGTGTCCCCCTTCTATGTGAGACCCATTCCTGGGGCACAGCCAGCAGCTGGAGCAATAGGCAGAGTTACTGGGAGCAGTGCCCTGGTGACTGGGAGGCTCTTCAAAGCATTAACAAATTAATCCTCACTACGTCACTGATGGTAGATGAGCATTGCCTGCCTGGTTTTAGGCCTAAAAACCTGGCAGTATATAATTTGCCCAAGGCCACAAAGTTGATGGATGACAGGGAAACCCTAGGTCCAAGGGTGAGTTCCCTGAATGACAGTGATGACAGTCTGTGGATGAAGGATTTATGACCAAAATTACAAGGAGAGCTCAGAGAGCCTCACGCTCGCTCCCTGCCTGGCCTGTAGCACATCACACTTTGTGGCCTCTGCTCACATTCCAAGTCCTCCTCACAGGATCCCTTCTGCTTCCCAAGCCAGTGGAGAAGAGGCGGTGTCCCAGGTGTGTTCCCTCTGAAAAGCAAGTTTTCCATCCATCCTGGCAACGGGAACTCTGCAGCGTTCCGAAATCTGAGAAAAGCCACATCACACCATTCCGAGGGCACGTGCAAATATCCTGGAGTTCTGAAGGTCACCTAGTTAATTATATTAGCTAGACCCAAATTCCTGCATCTGTCAGCAGTTCAAAGGCAATACAGCTGGAAAACATTAGCACTGTGTTGTCTTTGTACCTCTGCAAAAAAGGCAAATAATAATAAAAAAGAGAAAACCACCACCAAAAGTCCTTCCCAGAAAACCCCAAACCCAAAGTTACTAGAGGGGTTTTTCGCTTTTTTTTCCCCCCCCACTGATACTGACCTGCAAGTGCAAAAAGAACCTGATCTGATGTTTAGATACCAGATGAATCTTTCTGAGCTGGCAGTTAGACAGACTGAGGAGATTTGAGACGGTGATGATTGATGGAGAAGATGTAATTACAGGGGTTTGGGTTTGCAGTGACTTGGTTAAAATGTAATGCTACAGAGCACAGTCTGAAGTCCAGCAAAGGGTTCTGTTGCCTATTTTGGCATAAGTGATATTTTTTAAGCTAAGGGCTGACAAAGTTTGATGACCAGCCCAAGGGGAGTTAGGGGAAATAAAAACTTTTATCCTTCACCCTCTCATTAGCATCTGCTTGCAGAGCTCCGTGCTGGTTTTTTATGACCTTTAGGAACAGTGGCCTGGATAAGAGAGTTCAGTATATTCTTATTTTTAGCAGTTAGTTCCCTCCATTTGCTACACTTGCCTCCTTCTTCCGAGAGGCAGGATTTACCTACACAAGACATGAAGTAAATCTCTTCAGTTTGGGGGAGCCTGTGCTTTTGCAGGAGCTATGGAAAAAAATCAAGGCCCACGTTATTCCTGCTCCTCAAAGAAAATTAAAAGATACGAATGGGAGGTAAACTGAACCAAGTTTGGATTTACAGTGCAGAGCTTCTTAGGGTCTAAGTGCCTTTGAGAAAATTCACAGTTTGGGATGCCCACAGCACAGCTTGTAGGGCTGCAGTGAAGTCATTTGAGCTGTGCAGAAATGGATTTGACCAGAACTGCTCATTTTCATAAAATAGTGCAGACTTTGTGTTTTACTCTGTGGCAGGAGTCTGATGTGATCAGCTGTCCCACCACCACATGGAAACAAGCCCAGAGGAGGCATTCATCATTTCTGCAGCAATTTATTGCAGTACCCACTTTTTATTGTTGTCAGCAGTGATTATGATGATGAAAAATTTGAGCACAACCTAGATAAATGAATGCATAGTTTTATCTATGATAAATGCATAGTTTTATCTATACCATTCATTTTGCCTCACTGCTGCCAGCCAGTCTGTCTCCCCTCGGGAGTCAGCGTAGGTCAGATGAGTGAGGAATGAGATGCTTTTGATTCCTAACTCAGGATAACATTTGAGAAGTTTCAGGAATACTTCTTACAGATGAGCTGCAACTTCTCATAAGAGTTTGGTTTCAGGGAATGAAGCAGCAGCTATGAAGAGAGAAAATGGAAGTGTGAGGGAGAGAAATATTGCATTCACATCTTCCATTTCCTCTTTAAACTGTAATTTTCCCCTTCTTTCTCCCTTGCAGTCAAATAATAAAGTGGGAATTTAGTGGCAGGTGACAGTAGAGAGATGATACAGGCACAGCATAGGCTTTCTCATCCCCTTCTGCTACACATATCTTCTTTGAGCTGCACTTAACCATGTGAGCTATCACAGAGTCTGAAAGCAGAGGAAAGATCCAGAATAGCTCAAGCAGTTTGTAGGCATTGTAAATAAAACAAACCCAGCTTTCATTTAGAAAAAGAAGGCCATTTTCAGAAACATGTAATGAACCTAGAAGTATTTCTGGTGAGTATAGGACTCATTCTCTAAGTTGGGATGTCACAGCTGAGGCAGCACCAGAAATCACGGCACATAAATAAAATGCTTCTGTAACTAATGGAGCAGGGAGCTTAGAGAAGTGCTGAGCATGAGTGGTGTAAAGGCTTAGTACGGGCTTGGGACAATGAGAGACTTGGATGTGACGCAGTCCCTGGGACCAATTTGGGGCTATAATCAGTGATTTGTGCTGAGAAAAAAATCTGTTGAATGTAATTCCAGCCTGACAGCAAAATGATGCTGAGGATGCTTGTAGGCACGAGCGAGGAGCTTAACACTTGCAAGGGATTTAGAGGTGCTGTCAAGCCGGGTCTGAATTCCCACACGCACTTCCACCCATCTCCTCCTACATAAGTATTTCCACATCCCACGGGATCAGGCATTTTGCTGTTTCTGCAATGTCTTTATTTGTAAGTGTTGTCCCTGCAAGGGGCTTTCTCTTCCATACTGAAATACTGCCTGCCCAGGAGCCCAGCCAGAGAACCTGGACACCGCTCAAAATTCCCAGTGACTTAATGTCCAGAATCTGCAACAGCTTTTTTGGTGCCTTCCAATTGTCGGGCAAGGCCATAAATGCCAGCCTCTAAAAAGTGTAATTGAGAGTCTCTAGTGCAAAGACCTCAGAGAAATGGCAATTTTTTTTTCAATGTGCTTGAAATAAATGCACAAAACCTGCCGTGTGCTATTCAGTCGTGACACTCAGGTAATGAAACACGGGCCAGGGAAATTTAGAGCAGAAGCAAAGACCTCTAGGCAACAATGTAATATAATACAGCAAAGATATAACTCAATTGGAAATAGCCAGCTGGCACTAATGGCTCATTCGTTTAGACTCATATTTCTGGGCTGTCTGGCTTTCGGTGAGAGGGGAGCAAGGAAAATCAGGCCTGGCTGCCAGTGGCTATCAATAAAAGCACTGTTAAACAGAGCCATTGCTCTGCGGCTCGGGAGGCACTGCAAACCACCTTGATCACTGGAAATGGTTTTAGGAAACTGCCAAGGATCTGAGCTTTGTCTTCTCAGGTGCTTGACAGATTCCTAAAACCTTTAAAACACTGCTGGCGATGGTGGGAACAGACACATCCCTGCACATGGCACATGCAGAGCTCTACTGGGCACACAGGGGAAGCCTCAGCTGTGCCTGGGCTAGACCAACAAAACTTGTTTTTAAAGCAAAACGTGAGACCTTCCTATGCCTGACAACACCCCTTGAAATTTAACCTCCATGCAGCTGTTACTGCGATGCTGGTGGTTGAAATAACTTTAACAACGTTATTACAGCAGTAACAAAGAAAGATACAACAAACCAAACAGAACCAAACCCAAACCCCACAACAAACAAACAAAAAACCCCAAACACCTACAAAACACCCAGGACTGTTTTTCCACAGGTTCAATGCCAGTGTTCTTGTGGAAAATAAGTGGAACAGTGCTGAAGTTGACAAGCCCAAGTCCAGAGCCGTGAGATGTGCTGGTGGAAGCAGTGGGCACTTCCCATCTCCCCAGGTATGGGCTCTAACACGGGATAATGTGACCCATCTGCCTGGACGTGGCCATTTTGGGATGGAGTGTATCCTGCCCGCCTTCTTCCCTCCCCTCTGGTCCTCCCAGCTGCAGAAGCAGGTTTGACTCTCTCAGTAGGGTCAGGACACAGGTTTTGTTTCAGGCCCTGTTCATATGACTATTACCCTTCTCCCACTTTTTGACCCTCCTTTCTGCCATCCTTGTACCTCCCTTGCTGTGCCTTGGTCCCCTCCTGAATAAATAGCCTGGCCTGATTACTTTTTCCTGGATGATCCCAGTTCTAGTAGATCCATCCCCACTCTTTGTATTTCTGCTGCTGTTACCTGGAGGGAACAATAAGAGCAACAGCAATAACACTGTTACTATTTTGGGGTGCCTGGGTAAGGATGACTGGCTGTTTTTTGCTGGCAGGTATCTGTGGCACCCTGGTTGCAGCTGTGCCAGGGAGCTGAAGGGACACAAACCTCCTGCCCGAGATGGATTAAGTTGCTGAATGTTGGAGAGAATGACCCAGAGCTCTTGTAAGCAAAACACGAAGAGGGAGTGAATATGTCCCGTGGTACTAGTTAGAAATTACTCATAAAGAACCAGGGGACTCCTTCCACTGCACCAGGTTGTTCCAAGCCCCATCCAACCTGGCCTTGGACACTGCCAGGGATGGGGCAGCCACAGCTTCTCTGGGCGACCTGTGCCAGGGCCTCCCCACCCTCACAGGGAAGGATTTCTTCCTAATATCCCATCTATCCCTGCCCTTTGTCAGTTTGAAGCTGTTCTCCCTTGTCCTGTCACTCCAGGCCCCTGTGAAAAGCCCCTTTCCAGCTCTCTTATACCTCCCTTAGCTGCAGTACCCTCACATATATATATATATATTCATTTAGCAAGGTTTTTTTCATTATTATTATTATTATTATTTGCCTTTCTAAAGAGCTAATAGAACCACACTTCGTGGTGAATCATCCAAGAATCATGGAGTGGTTTGAGTCGGCCCTTTTGAGGTTGATTTAGTCCTGTCCCTCATTTTGGGGATTGCCTGCAGCTGGGGGAGGGAGGGCAGGGTGAGGCGCCAGCTGCTCCCTATTCCCCATCAAGGTTTGCTTGGAAGGCAAACAGATCAGGCTTTCTGGAGGGAGAGGGTCACACATCTTCTGGTGTCTGTTTAGTGCCCCTCTGCCAGGTAAGATTTGCAGGGAGCAGAGGGGCAATCTTCAGGAATTCCTGGGGGAATTGGAGTGTTTCAGCCTTGAATGGAAGGAGCGGATTTTTCTGTGAGCTGTCTACAAACTGTGAGTACTGGCCTCGGGGCCTTGTTGTACCCTGTGGAGATATGTAGGACTGGGAAATGGCATGTCTGGGGAGCTGGGGGACGCTGCCAGAAGCAGGTGAAGCTCTGTGGATGTGTTTTTAAGAGTTGTGCTGATGTGAGCTCCTGGTAGGAAAGCACTGGTCTGATCCTGCTTTGTTGTAAGAACTTGGATAAAAAGCAGTTTTGTGGCCCCTGGGGGGGCAGGGATGGGCTGTGGCTTTAAATATTACACAGCAAAGAAAAATATTTGGAAGTAATGGACCAGTGAGTGTGGTTTGGTTTGCTTTCTCTCTTGTGCTGTGAGGAAGAGGCTTTAATTTTAAAAGTTGTCTTTTAAGCACAGAAAATGGAACAGCAGTTTGCCAGGCCAGCATCCCCCTGTGCTAGCACACAGCTGCTCTACACATTCAACTGGACCACATGGAGCTTTGGCTAAATGATGTGTTTCATTTTTGGGGGGAACTCTGTGAAAATTGCTTGTGAATGGATGTTTTTCTTGTCTTGGAAATACTCTGAGAACTCAGGACCTAAATGCTTTGAGTTGGACAACGATTTTGTGGTGGTTTTGCCTTATTGTGAGCTTAGAGAAGTTGAAGGTGTAGTTGAACCTTTCTGGAACATGAATTGGGTTTTTCTGCCAGGGCTGCCATTAAATAAGGGCACATCCTTTCCACCTGTGGGGAGGGATAAGGGAGGGGCAAAGTGAAACTGGACTTTGCATCCCTTCCCTCTCCTGTTGTATTTTCAAGTGATTTGTTTGCTTCTGATCTTGGTCTAACAGACTCAAAGAAACTAAAACTATTTATCAGAATGGTTGTGTAATGTCATGGTGCCTGAGATGTGATGTATCACGTACTACAGAGGTGTATGAGGAAAAAGGGGAATTTCTGAATGAGTATCGATTGAATTTGGATCAGCAAATGATGTTGCTATGTGATGCTTGATCTTTATTTTTTTTAGTGAATTTATGTATATTCATAAAAGATGGCTTTGTGGAAAATGAAATTAAGAACTGTGTCCTCAGTCTCTACTGAAAATTAACCTGTTGATTTCTATTGGAAAATTATCAAATCTGTGGAATCATAACCCAGTCTCCCAAAATGTAACAATTTCTCTTTCTGTGTATTTCTCATTTTACATAACTTTATATAAACTTAATTGTTGTTGTAGAAAGGCACAGGAAAAGCAGCAACAGGAAACATCTTTGGAATATATTTTAACAATAGATTTTCTATACAGGGATGTTAAAAAGCAACTGTAACTCCCATTTGCCAGTGTGGTTAATGAAGCACTGACTGGTTTATCTGCAGCACTTTTGGTTTGGTATAAAAACCCTTCTCAAGGGTCAGGTTGAATCCAGTGGGCTTGGGCTGTGTCTGTTGTCCTTAGAATCAGGCCAAGGATGGGAATAGGGGAGTGCTCTGAGTGTAAATAAATACACACGTAGGTCAGTTCTAAAATTTGCAATAACAGGTAGGAAGTTTGGTGCTGATACTGGACTGTCTGCCTGCAAAAAACTTTTGGGAGTTGTGCTGGCTTTCTTCTGTCAAATACTGATGATCTGCTGCACTCTAGTGGCTGTTGGATAGGAGCCTTGAGCAAGGTCAGTTGTGCTTGGAGAAAGCCGAGGGGTTATTTGTACCTGACCTCAGAAAGGTTCAACCAGCTTTTATCAATTTTATTGTAGTTGCCCCCATTTTTGCTTATTGTATAATTTAGGCTGCTGAACGGGAGGCTGGGACTGATCCCTCTTCTTTGCTTTATTCCAAGAATAGTCTTTTCAGTGTCTTGAATTCATATATTTCTCTGGATCTGTCTTCCTTTCCCATGGCATTTCCCCTCTCAGCATTAAGCCAGGATCCTGTAGAGTTAGGAGGGCTGGGAGCAACCTGTGTTATGTGTGCCTGGGATGAATGGCTGGAAAATCATGTTCCTGCCTTGTCAGCAAACCACTGACTGAAGGCAGAGGGGCTCTGTGCTCTACATTTGTTTCTCTAACAGTTTAAAATGTGCCTGGAAAAAGAACAGGCTGTCTCCAAGATGGCACTTCTCCTATGTCATCTCCAGAGCTTTGGCCCAGGCTGCAGTCTGTGCTGTAATTGAGGTTTTCTTTGGGGGTTTATAGAGTGAGGGGGGTGTCATGGACAGAACAGGACCTTCAGACACAATTCATTAGAGGAGCTTCCTTTGAGCCACGGGGTGCAGAAGGACCCCTTGGCTTTCTAAACTTCTCAGAGAGGGGTCTGGGTGTGGTTGTGGGTCCAGTCTGAGCTTTGTCATGGTTTATGTCTAAAGGATTATACAGGGGTAATTGAACCCTTCTACAACTTTTCCCCACAGGAATAAGGATAGCAGAGCAAACTTATATATGAAACAAATGATTTACTATGATAATAGTTAGACTAAAAGACCATGATCAGAATTATTTACTACCTAGTCCAGATAGCTAGAACTGCTAGTGCAGTGCCCTGTTTTTGCAGGAATATTGAAGCCATGGTATTAAAGCCAGCAAAACCAATTATTGAGTAGAGATTGATGTAACTCATTCTTTCCAACAACTGTGGGACAACCTTCCTCAGCTTGAGGAGTGACCTTGAGGGGAAACCCCACTCCAGGGAGGAATCTCCACATACACCCCTGGAAGGGGGATGTCACAAGATCCCACTGTTCCAAAGTGGGACTGGACTTTATTGTATAGAGTGATTGTCAGGTGTGTGTCCAGGCCAGCCGTGTCAGCTCAGCTTTAGATAAGTTATCAGTTGTATGACTTATTTATTCCTTTATCAGGCATTTTATCAGCTCTGCCACATCTTCACCTCACTGTGGGGGATGTTTAACTTTGGGATTGGTGAGTCAGGCTGGTTTGAGCTTTCTTAGACCTCAAAAGCAGTGTGACACACACACCCCCACTTATCTGTTCACCACTGACAGCTTTCCAAATTGGGAGTTCAAGTTGTTTTACCCCCCTTCCAGGCAGAGCATCCTGCTATGGACTGACTCCTCTTATTTGCATTACTTAAAAGACTTTTCCTTTAAGTCCCTTGGATTCATGTATTTCTCTGTACCTCTCTTCCTTGACCTTGATACTCTCCAACTCAGAGTTAAGCCAGCATCCTGTAGAGGAGAGAGGACTGGGAGCAGCCTGTGTTCCGTGTGCCTGGGATGAGGGGCTGGAAAATTATTTGACTGTCTTGCCAACAAGTCACTGAGTAAAGCCAGAGGGGACTATGCAGTTGTAGCCTTTGTTTCTGTGAGCCTGGAAACAGAATGGGCTGTCTGCAATGTTTTCCCATGTCCTCTCCCCAGCTCTGGTTAATGTTGAAGGCAGTGATGTAACTGAGACTTTCTTTTGGGGGTGGGAAGGTGTCACAGGCAGAATGGGAGTTCAGGAAGACTTGTAGCCCTGCTTTCACAGCCACTTTTTTCAGATTTAATCCCATTATTCTGACAGCTCCTGTGGAGTCATGTTGACTTAAGCACACAGAGCTGAAACTATAGCATGGCAAAGAGAAAATCCTCATGGTCAGCCATGTGCTGGAACACGAAGAGCCAAGAGGGAACACCAGTTAATGAATTGGATTGAGATATTTGTGTGTTTATTTGGTCTTTTTTAATTAATTTAATTTAGTTTTAAGGGAGTAAGATGACAGGGGAGCTCAGCTTTGGCCTTAAGCTCAACAAGAACGATGTTGGGCATCATGGTATTGATTTAGTCAATGGACAAAGCTGGTGTCAGATTTATTAAAAAAAGCTTAAGTTTGAGCAAAAAGGGTGTTGATGGAGTGGATCTGACAAGCAGGGGGAAAAGGGGGTTCTTGATTCTTGAAATAAGTAAAAAACCTTATTAGACATTGAGTGACCTGTAAATGTCGTGTCTGCTCAGTGGGACAAAAGGGTCCAGGGCTGTGGCGGTGTGAGTGGGTTTCCTGTTTGAGGATGGTTGCTGGTTGTGTTGCTGCGCATCCTTGCTTGGGGTTATTTAACTAGCCAAAGAATTGAGTTCTGGATTCAGTCCTGGGTTTAAATATCCATGCAGTGTGTATGTGGAATGAGTGTTACTCCTCATATCCTTACAGTGCATCAGAAACAGGTTCTGCCATAGCTCACCTTAGTCCTTTACCTGCAGAGACCAAATTAGAGCAATATATCCATGATAGGCTCCTAGAGTTTAATTGCTCTCTAATAGAGACCTGGGAAGAGGGTTAGGCCTTGGAAGACAAGCCATCTCTGTGCAGGGGACTGAAAAAGGTGGCAAAAACTGAGGATACAGCTGCTCTTCGTGGCACTGATGCTACACAGACAAAAATCGCCAGCAGTGACCTCTTTACCACATATTCTGAAACCTGATAACTGTTGTAGCTCCAGGCTGTTCTGAAATGCTGCTTCTCATGCCAAGAGCTTGCAGCAGTTGCAGGGTTCATAGCCAGGATAAGGTAAAGGTGCAGGGGAAGCAGTTTGAATTTTTTTTCCTCAGGGAAATACATTAAATTTGGAAGTTGCCCACTATCATAGGCCTGAAGTTCTAGGCTGTAGTGTGGGGAGTACACAGCTTGTACCTACAACTTGAGTGACTGCCCAGGTATGGCACGAGTTGTCAGATGGAAAGTCGGGCTCTCTGTGTCTTCTGGCCCACTTAATTGTGTGTTGTGAATCCAGCATCATTCAGGAAGTGCCCACAGGTCCTGCCAGGGTGCTCCACCAGTTGTAGTCCAGTTTTATGGAATGTGAACTAAGACTATCACTGGACACTAAAAGTATCTGGAGTGACACACAGGAGAGGTTACCATTAGGGGTAATCCACAGAAGGAGACAGCTCTCACAGGTGGCACGTGGCTCCCTTTGGTGGCAGCTACTGCCAGGATCATCAGAGATGGTTAAAACTCACTGATCAGCTCTGCTGGTCATAGAGCCCAACTCTCTTTCAGGGTTAGCTGGGGAACAGAGGCAGGAGGGAGCATAAACTGTGGTCATAAAACTCATTTTTGAGCTGCTTTACAGTCAGACTAATAAAAGCTTGATGATATAACTAACAAGCTTTTTTTAATAACCCCCCTCAGTTTTAGAACTGGGTGATATTTATTTATATGCAGAAATAAAGGGTTTGGTTTTTCAAGGTGGAAGGAAAGAGCAACTTTAGTTCCTGAATTGTTGCTGCCACTTATGAGGCCATGAGAAGCACAACGTTAGTCCCTGCATTTAATCACTGGTTTGCTAAAAAATAAATTAATGTGACTTCAGAAAAGGTGTTTACTTTAGGTATTTAGCAGAACTGGCCAAGTCTTTCAGCAAAATAGTGTTTGTATTTGGAAGTGCTGATAGTGTGGCTCAAACTGAGCAGTACTGAGTTATTCCCTCTTATTCCTACCTGTTATTTCCCACTTGTCCTCAGGCCACTGTGATGGTAGTGTGGTGCAGGGGGGTGCAAGTTCTTGACGGGCATTGTTTGGTTGCTGTGTGGGGTTTTGAGTTGGATTTGTTGTTTGATGGTTGGACTCTTTGATGGGAAAAAGAAGAGTAGGAGGAAATAGTTGGTACTTTTGGTTTAAGTCCTCACCTTGACAGGTCTCGCTGCGTCTGTGACAAGGGAGTGGTGGCTGGTGCCCTGTGTTCCAGGCTCTGGGTTTATATGGAATAAACTTAAACTGGCAGCAGACCTCTTCCCAATATTTTTTGTGCATGGTGTGAGTGTAAGATGTGACAGGATTTCATCCTATATTTTTCTTCCCTGTCTTTCTTCTGGTGAGAAACTGTTGGTAGTGGGCACTGGAAAAGACACTGACCGTAGCAAACAGTCTGAGGCACATTTGAAGGAACCTCTGCTGTTTCCAGCCCAATAAAATAACTAGAAAACAAGGCTAGATCCCCTTTGAGAAATTAATAACAACTACTCTTAATAAAAATTTTATCTGCCTTAGAACCTATCAATAGTGCTGAATGCAGAATTAAATATGTCTTGAAGGGAGCTGGGTGCAGAGGAGTTGCACTTCCCTCATCCTGCTGTGCCGGCAGTAAAAGCGAGTGAGCCACCATTTCTACATTTAACACTTGTACATTTTTATTTAGTTAAATCAGCCATTGTACACATTGCAGCTATGTATTGTTAGTGTTGTATCTTTTTAATTTTTAACTAATACATGCCCTCATAGATATATTCAATTAGTGTTATCACCATGGGAACAAGATGCTGATTCGTCAACTTAAAATTCACTTCTTCTCACAGTATTCAAGTTCTCCGATAACACAGCAAAAAATCAAAATAAGAGGTGAATAACCATTATGTTGTTACACAGAACATCATCTGCACCGCAAATAACACAACAGAAATGCATTTCTTGAGAGCCCCATCCTCGAAGACCCTCCCGCGCCGTCTCGGACGACGGGGAAGCCACGATGCGCTGTGAGATGTGTCATCACGGGTCTCAGTCGGTTTGGCTGCCAAAACACTTTTTTTCTTTTAGCTTTTTTTTTTTTTTTTTTTAATTTTTTCTTGCCTGCCCAAAAAAGTGTCAGCACGGCACCTCAGGTGGTTCTGCCCGCAGGAAGCCAGAACTGCAGAGATGTTTCCATGCTTTTGGCATCATTACCTTAATGAGGAAGTGCCCTTGTTCTGAGCACTGAGTGAGTCGTTAAAAAAACAAAGAACCCTATAACTGCAGAAGGCCAGATAAGCTCGGACAAAGGATTACTCCTAGAGGAGAGGGTCGGTTTTACTCTGGTGTCGAGTCTACTATTAAAAAAATGAATTAACAGCTGTTTAAAAACATGAAATCAGTGTGTTTGTGTGTACGTGTGTGATGCTAAAACCCTACGGAGCTCCCTCCATTAAATATTAAGGTATAGAACACCCAAAGCTTCAGATCCCTATGTTCCCTTTTCGGAAAATAAAAGTGCAGACATGCTATCGTGGTTTTTCAGAGGGTCGGTTTAGAAATATATATATTATATATAGTTACATAACAAAATATGAACAGAAACTGGCTGCCGAGGATTGTGAGCACTTGTTCTTTAAAAAACGCTCGATCGGAAGATAAAAACTGCTCGCTCAGTGCTAAGAGGGCGGAGAAGCTGACATGGTTCTAGGAGGGTTTGGTTCTGACCTTGGAATGCCACATGCACGGCTCAGCTAAGAGGCAATCTCGATAAAACACGGTGAGTTAGTTATTCTCCCTGTATAGTGGGTAAGTCTTTTTCCCGCAGTTATCTACAGTGCAGTGGCCAGCAGGAAGTACCACCGGTCTGTCGGTGAGGTCGGCTAAGCGGTGACGGAAACGGGAAACTACCGGAGTTGGAATTGTTTAATACGCCCTGCCCCAGGTCCGGATCTAATAGGCTGTAACACTGCATGGGGATGTGCCATAGCTATAGCTGGGAGCGACTCTGTTACCTAACGGGGTATTATTTCTTGGATTTTCCTTCTGGAAATCTTTCAACGGCTGTCAGAAGGTCTTAACAGTATTAATGGCCACAGGCAGCTGTTACTCATGTGAGCAGCTGGGTTTCCAGGTTTTTAGCCTGACTCTTAGAGCCTTTTAACTACAAGAGATCCCTAAACCGTAAGTCTTAGGACTCGGTAGCTGCGCGGCGCTTCCTCCTCAGTCCGTGCGTGTTTTGCAGTCGACGGGGACGACGTCGCGCGATCCGTCGCCGTTCCGCAGCGTCGCCGGGCGACGGGAGCCACGGGCAGCGTGTTTCCTGCAGTCTGGTAAGTCCAAATACTCTGTCTATTTACAGTTTACATGTGCACTCCCTTGAACATAGTCACTGGAAGAGGCCTGTGGATGAAGTCGGCTCGAGGAGCGCCGGAGCAAAGGGACAGCGAGAAGCGGCGGCACCGCCAAGGAGGAGGCGTGGCGGGGGAGAAATCCTCCTGCCCGAAGGATGCTATCTTTGGTCACAAATTAGCTTACAGGGTACAAAAGAAGAAAAACACAAAATGGATCTTAAGGTGGGTAAGAACTGAATTCACTGCAGCTGCACGAGGAGAAATGGCAGTGACAGGGGGCGGTAGTGTCGGTCATGACGTCAACTCCCCAGGGAAGGTGACGGCAGCGCACGGGACGGAGGGCGACGTGGAGCTGGGGGGGTACGGGAGTGAGCAGCAGCTTCTCACTTGGCCTCCTGTTTCCAGTCGTCTTGGCAGAAGTGCCGAAGAAGCTGCTGGAGGTCGTGCTGGAGGTCATCCCTGGGGAGCGCTTCTGGGGTGTCTTCCAGCTCTTCTAGGTGAACACGTTTGCCACACCGATCCTTCATCACGGTCCTCTTCTGAGTGCTGGCTTTACTTAGGGTTGTCCTAAAACGAAAAAAAAGCAGAGTTGTGACTTAAAAAGACCACAGATCCTGCAGATGTGCAGCTATTTCCTTCTTAAGCTGCTGAGGAAGGGTGACACGTGCTGGATGCAAGGCGCATCATGTAAACTCTTGAGAAATGACTCTCGAGGGTAAAGGTACAGGCTGGGATTACTGGAACAACATGCTACAACAAACAAACATGCAAAGAGTAACTAAAAATACTAGAGAGGAGTAGCATTGCAGCACTGCTGAAACACTAGCCCTTAGGTCATTGAATATCTCCCAGTACATCAACACCCATAAGGGACTGGGGGGAACACTGACAGGGGTAATAAAATACCTAGTGTCTAATATGGGTCGTCTCAATGAAGTTCTTCATAAAACAAAAATGTGGTGATATTTTTTAGAAGAAATCAATAAACTTGACAGGGTGCCTGAGTGCTTTATTCCTATAAAACTTAGCTCCTTATCAGAAGATCAGGGAAGTGGAGAGGGG